TGTTGTGCGCTGATGATAAGCGACTGTTGTGCGCAGATGATAAGCGATTGTGCGCTGATGATAAAGCTATTACTGCAAAAAAGGATAAAGAACTCCATTGGGAGTATGATACGCAGGTCCTAAAACAAACCCTCTCAGGAGGCCTTCTCTGAGCTCGAGAGAAGTACAAAAGGACTGGCTTAGATTTATATATAACTAAACTAGAATATAGGGAATCTGTTGAGAGTGGTTTCTGTCTTAGGCAGGAAGCTACGCTGACAAGAGACTCAGAAGGTTTGTGCGGAAATCTAATGAGCAGGAAAAGTAATATCTAACTAATAGACAATAGAATGACTGAATACAGTTTGAAAGTGTGCACACGACTGTAACCTACTGACATTACTGATAAAGTAATACTATAAAGGAGAGATTGATAAAGGGAAGAGACATAACTCCCTATAAAAACCCTGAGTTGATAAGGGTGAAATAAAGAGGACATTTGTAACTGTCACAAGCAGACCAACAATAAGAATCTCTCTTTAACAAAGACTTGAGTACAAGCAGTTTAACCAAGCCTCAAATAAGTTGTTACGGTAGAAGTTTCATCGTGATTTTATTGAGTTGCTCTGGTTACAAAGAGACTCTACAGCAGTACACAAGCTCAAAGCTTCCAAACCTTATAGTTCAACTTGTCAATTAGAGTGTATAAAGTTAGTAACACTAGTGTCGTAGAGGTTGTATAATTGTAAAGCTTAAAGTAGTTTTTTATTTTTCCCCTCTTTGTTAAAAAATAGTAATTGATGGTAGAGGTGAACTGCCGTTTTTCGTTCATTAACTTTACTTCTGTATCACTGGGAGCCAAAAATGTAGTAAATGTATTTTGATTGGCTTGATTAATGTGTTCAAAGTGAAAAAAAAAGAATATATATATAGAGTTTGTTTCAATCCATCTGCATATATCCCGAGCTATATTGTGTCCAGATCCTATTCTGTCTGCAGAAAAAAAAAAAAAAAAAGAAAAGTTCAAGCTCCGTGTATACTTGGTGGTGGCAGGTCACCCAGATGTGTGTGCTCGCTCTCTCCGTACAGAGAGGAGTAGAGTTGTCATACATACAGACATTGATCATACATACTTCCTAAATAATCAGAGGAAGAGTGTTGATGGAAAGGGGTTGTGGAGGTCACAGGAAGGATTGTTGGTTGCACTTGGTGCATTGCTGACCATCTCAGAATCGCACAGTGAAGATCACTGTGCGAGGGGGGAAGTACTGAAAAGGTTAAAAAGACAATACAACATAATAAAAGCTATCCATTTATTTATCAGAATCAACAGCACAATAGCCGGACAGATGTGTCCTGGTTAACATGCAGTATTTATAGAAGATTTGGTGTATCAATTCAAGTTGAACTAAGTCTTGACACGAGTGTTTTGAAGATACTGTAAACGACAAATTGGAGAAAATGGGTAAAAGTCAAAGTGAGTCTGAGCCTGAGCAGCTTGATGCCAAGGTCTTACCTCCAATATTAAAATATATGTGAGACAAAGATAATCAGACTACCAAACAATTGAAAGAATGGATAAAATGGGTTCCCTGAAAAAGGCAGTTTTAGCCTACAAAAATGTTATCAACTCAAAACTTGGACACAAATAAGAAAACAGGGAACAATAAGACAGATAAAATTGATAAAAAGGGAAAATATACTGCCGAACTTTGTTTTGGTTTGTTTTTGTCCTATCTTGGTTACTTGTATGTTCCTTTAAGCCAGCAGGTACCAGAGGTGGTGATCACCCTAAGTGGAGGCTCCGCCTTCCTGGCAACCAGAGCGCTCTCCTAACACACCGAGGAGGAACGAGGACGGCTCGTTCCAGCCACCATTTGTCGTTGGACATCTTGTTTATGTCGAATAAAACTCTTTGCTTTTGGTAAACTATCTGCGTCTCCCTGACTAGGTCATGGCTGTCAGAGCCAGGTCTTGACATGGTCAAGTGGACCCCAGAGAGGGAACCACCGACGCACACACATTACAACACAGAGGGTGAGTTAACTTTAGATTCTGACTATTTAGTGCAGTATAGACTATGACAAACTAGACAAACACATACCAGATGTACGCAAATTAAGGTTTAAGAAAGTTACCACAAGACAAACACTATTAAAGGTAAAAATGTTCAGAATGTCACAGGCAGGCTGATTACGTGGATTAGATGAGGGATTGAGGAGGTGTTGTTTGGAGAAGTGGAGAAGTTATATTTATTGTATTATTTACATTTGTTGGACAGGGAATGCTGCTGCTGTCTGTTTCTCTGTCTCCCAAGCAATAGGAGTTGTTTAAGGGGAAGATCACACATGTGTGTCCTTGGCATGAGGCCTATGAATGGAGAGGATGTCTGACTGGCTGCACAGTCAGACCCATACTCACTGACCTCAGAAACACAGAGGATCCTGGTAAACGCTACAGAGATAAGGGTGACGTATACAAAACGAGAGGTACATCAATGTCAACAGTGAAAGGAGTAACTCAACTTATGTTTGATAAGAAAACACACACCATGGTTTCAAATGTGTGACGTAAGACAGGTGAGGGGTGCTAGTGTTCACCCAAAATCGTGATCTGCCCAATTTCAAAATCTGATTTCCACTCATGCAAGAAGCAATATCCACTCAATCGAGATATCAATGATATTACACCTGTTCTTGAGTCTTTATTGAAGGTTGGTATAATAATATAATGTGATGATTCACCGGTGCACGCGCCAAATTTTTCCAGTAAAGAAAATTCGAGACTTGAGGGAACCAACTGAGTGATGATTGTCTGACATTTACAAGCAGTTAATGTGTCGGTGCACCCACGAGCACCTCAAACTTTGGCTGCAAATGGTCACAAGGCTAGCCTGTCCAAATTGCAATTTGCTCTGGATAAAGTTTCATATCTGGGACGTGATCACAGCAGAGGGCAAAACCCTCCCTCCCAAGACAATACAGGCAATTCAAACTGTGCCTAAAACCAAAAAACTCAGAAACAGAGGCATCCCTCTATCCATGATTCATGGTAAAGATCTTTATGCGCATGACAAACTGACCTGGACTGACTGCTCGACTGATGCCTTTAATATCAAAGATTTTAATCCTGCTACTCTTTTTCCTACTCCAGCAGATGGAGAGCCACATAACTGTTGTTTCTCATGAACAGGTCTGCACACCGAGACCTGACCTCACAGACATGCCCACCGAATGCTGATTTACAACCGTTAGTGGACGGTTTGGCATCCCACTTGCCGGACACGGGAGAATGGTTGGTTTTGTTTGCTGTAGTCTCATCATATGACACTCTGTGCAGCAGTAAGTTGCCAGCACACTTTTCTGCTCAAGCTGCAGAACCTGTGGCTCTTACGGAAGGAAGCCTGTAAGCTTGCTGCCGACAAAATAGTTAACATCTACACACAGACTCTCGCTACGCATTTGGTGTAGTGCACGACTTTGGCACCTTGTGGAAACACAGAAGCTTTTGGAAATCATCCGGCAAGCCCATTTCTCACCACCGTCTCGTGGCCGACTTGCTAGAAGCCATATTGCTGCTTAAAAATGTCTGTGTTATGAAATGTGATGCTCACACTAACGCTTCTGATCCCATTTCAACAGGAAATGCTGCAGCTGATGCTGCGACTAAGCAAGCAGATTTTTCAGGCTATGTTTTAGCTCACAAGACTTATGCTAGGTGTGCCTACACAGAAATATCCCCCCTATAGTTTTTCCTGTAATGCAACCTGCGGGTTTTTCCGCCCTTAAATGAAAGTGAACCTTAGTATTGAGTGATGTTATTTGAATTATCTTACTAACTCAAATGTTCTGTATTGGTATATAATCAAGCACATACAGTATAATTGACATAATCACTTGTGTTGTTGCAATGCTGTGAGGGATCAAAACTTTAGGTTACAGTTCCACCTATTTGACAAAAGTTATATGAAGTTATGGTGGGGGTCAAGTGACCCCCAAAGGGGGGATATGTTGAAGAAAATCATCATATAATTTAGGATTAAACTGAACACATTTGGTTCATAAAAACATTCTTAGGAAGAGATTAAGGCATGCCAGACAAATTGTAACATGTCACTCCAATGTGTGTCCAAACATTTCCCGAACACCAATCGTGTGTTCTGCGAGAAGGTTGTGTTCTGCCAAAAGGTTATCTTGATCCAAACAGAGTTGTGAGAGCATGACATAGTGAAGAGACCAGAGGTGCTCTGTTTGTGGTTCAACCCACTGGTTTGATTGGTGGAAACTGACTTAAAGGGGGTGAATTTTGACTATAAAAGTAATCTGTGAAAAGTAATACATCGGATTGGTTTGGATTTGCTGAACTCGTATGTTGGCATGTGCTTATTAAAACACTTCCTGCTGGGTTGCAACTTCAATTGGCCGTCTCTTCTCGTCATTTTGCCACAACAGTGTTTGGAAGCTTTTTTCTTCTTCATTGAATCATCCGACTGTTGGGGACTCCAGGTAACACTTTTCATTTCTTTGTTGCATCAGATCATCTTCCTGCATCAGTTTCTGAGTATTTCAAGATTATTGTTATAATCACTCCTCCAGAATTCCAATAGGACACATATTACACAAGTAATAATGAATAATAAATTTAAAATAAATATGGTTTATAAATGATTCTCTCAACCAGAATAATGAAACTCAGCGTTTTGGTTCTCCTGCTCCTCCTGGAGACACGCTCAGCTTACACTTATGGTGAGTATGATCTGAGAGTATGTGTGACGTCTTTATTGTCAATCATCACCAGGAGGTGCACGTAGGTCTGTTTTGTTAGCAAGAAAAGTAACTAGTATATTTATAAAAATGAACTCTTTAACTGTCGGGAGTTTAGTTATTTCTCCAAAATCATTGGAGTTGTGGTGAAAGGAAGGAAGACTTTTTTTTGGCTTAATTTGAGTTTTTTATACGGTGATATGATTATGTTGATTTTGAAAATGTGTTCTTCATAAAAATGAATTTCTCTCCTCACATTAAACTGCATTGGCAGACCAACGTCCTCTTTTCTGCAAACTTGTCTGCAACAACTTCCTGCAAGATTTAGCAATGAGCAAAAAGTTGCCATGTGGCTCATCAGACTTAAGGAAACGCATGCAAAGAGACACAAACAAATCAACACATCTTTCCACCAATATGAAGGCAAATCGCTGTCAAAATCCGAGAGCACAAATGAGATCCATGCGCGCGCGAAAATCAAACAGCCGCGCACGTATTTTACTTTGACGAGCGTTTTTACATCACTCCGTGAGCAAAATGTCGTCTCGCGCGAGCAGAATTCACTCTTGCGCGAGCAAAAGTTGCTCGCGAAACTTTAACTTTAAGTTTTTCTTTTTGACAGTAAGTGGGCGGACCCAGTCGTCATTGTATCTCTACATCTAATTGGTTACAATCCTCATCTTTGGATAAACCGGATATCACTCTGACACAGACGCTAGTTCTGATACAGGTGGTTTTCAATCCGCCACTAAACACTACTCCACTACATCTCAGGATGTTCTACATTTGTCTGACAGGTTTTGTAAACTTTTCAGACTGTAGAGGCTGATGAAATACAAATTATGTTAATAGAGTTGTTAAATACAATAATTAAAAATGTGTTAAAGCCAAGTTGCTCAGATTGGTTTAAATTCACTCCATCATTCTATTACAGACGATGTGTGTTTGATACTCAAACCTCTTGTGACAAACAGCTCAAAGAAACTCTTTGATCTTAATTGATTAAAACATGATGTGATCATATTTAATCATACTGTTGTGTTTACAGAAGAGATATAATATAGTTGTATATAATATGAGCAACAATTTGGACCTGCTCAAAGATCTGGAGCCAAGATTAGGGACCACTGTTTGTATATTAACTGTTAAATCACTGACAAGTAATTAGTGGATGAAAAAGTATTCAGATCCTTCACTGCAGTAAACGTACTAATGCCATACTGATGAAACAATAATCCGCTACCGCATGGATCTCATTTCGCTCTCGGATTTTGACAGTGATTTGCCTTCATACACCAATTCCACAACAATTAATCACAGAGAAACAAAATCATCAATTTGGCAACACATGCAAACACAACCGAATATACAAACGCACTATAGTTGACTACATAACAGTGAGCTAATGGTCTAAGTTTAAACCAAGAGTATATAATGTTGAAACACATGGTCTGTATCACACTAAGACATGGAGTAATACGTTGTTAGACACAGATTTATGCTTAACAATTCACAAACGATCTTCCTTTATATCTCTTATGTTTTTCAACCGTCTCTCTCCCAGAGAACGTGGCCTTGCGTGGAAAGGCGACCCAGTCAGACCGTTGGGAGAACGCGTTTTCAGCTGCTTACAATGCTATTGATGGAAACCGTGATGCTAAATACCCGTCGGGATCATGCACCCACACTGTTCAAATGACCAAACCCTGGTGGAGAGTGGACCTGCTGTACTCCTACATCGTCACCTCCGTCGTCATCACCAACAGAGGAGACTGCTGCGCGGAGAGGCTCAACGGGGCACAGATTTACATCGGCGACTCTCTGAACAACCCACTGTAAGAAAATATATCCCGCAATCAAAAAAGACATTTAGCTGCAAGCTGCAGGCTCAGCTGTCGCCATGTGGAGGCGATAGATATGTGGCACCTTCAGATGTTATTTCCACAAATATATATAAAAAATATTTTTTTTTATCCTCTTTTGAAAAAAAACAAGTATTATCATTATGTGAGGAAAATTTTCAAGAATCAAACAACAAGCTTGTTTCTTTCATCTTCATGTTAAAGGACTACAGGTATAAAATGTGATTCATGTGCTGTTTTCTCTCTCTCTCTGTTAGGGTTGGTACAATTCCTCGTGCTGGTCCAGGTGAATCGGTTACTCTGACTTTCACTAAACGTGTGGAGGGACGTTACGTGATTGTGGCTATACCGGGTCCAAATAAAATCCTCACACTCTGTGAAGTGGAAGTCTACGGGTACCGTGGCCCGACTGGTGGGCATTTGAGCTATTACATTTAGTATGCAGTGACATCGCACCTATAAATATTTACTTGTTTTTATATCTTCTGGACAATATCATATTTTATTTAATCTAATTTATCCGTTTTACGGTTGTAAAGTATGGGTTTATTACTGCTTTGTGCTCTTTGTTAAAGCGACAGAGACCAACCTTCTTTGGTGTTAAAGTAATTTCTGTTTCTTCTGCCAGCTGCGATGTGATCACAAGTATCCCATCAGGTGGTGTCGGTGAGTTCCTGTGTAATGTGATTAACGGTCATGGGATGGACGGTCGTTACATCCAACATATTCATCCCAAGACAAGAGCATCTGAGTCTGTGTGAGGTGGAGGTGTATGGCTCTCCCCTGGATTAGGGATGAAGATGTTCACAATAAAAACCAACAATCAAAAATCACTTCTTTTGTAAACTATGACAGTGATTCCATTGAGATATTTCTTTATGGCACTACTTGGTGCGTAAGTTGTAATGTTCTTGTTAAGCTGTCACTACTTGCTGCATGATAAAACTGTCTGTCATCAATACGGAAATACAATTAAATCATTAACGCAGCCTATCGTTCTGTTCATTTCAACCCTTATTGGTCTAAATCAAAACCTTTTTTCTTGCATTTAAACTTTCATCGACCACAACCGTGTGATACATTCAGCATGTACAGGACATAAAACGTATCATCTTTGGTGGAGGCAATTAAACATAAATGTACCATTATATACTTTTAATTAAAGACACTATTTTAATGAGAGTTTTAAGAACTTTGGGCTGTAGACTTGAATCTGCAACAAGACATCCCTCCTAAAGGGAACAGCAATGCTGTGCCTTGGACTGAAGAGTTGCAAACACATGATTTTCACCCAGGAGACCGCTGTTCCTGTCCCGTGTGAAAACAAAGGTAAACGTTCACTTTAAGCTTTTGTTGGACGGTTGGTTTTGTACCGTCGGTTTTTTTTGTTAAAAGCCATGGCGCTAAAGACTATGATTGTGGAACCGTCTGTTGTGAACAATCTTCAATACAAGACAAAAAAAACAATGGTGCTGATGGCAAATACTTTATTTTTTAAAATACAGACAAAATAGACAAATATTATAAAAGACATCTGCAACACACGAACGCCTGCGACAGGAAAAAAAATATTTATGCGTTTCAGGAAGTGTGACGACAGCCCCACTTCACAAAACACGGTCACTTACAAGATCACTTCCACACCGTGAAACCAGTCGTTCTACGAGTAGTACATGAAGAAACAGCTCTGACATCTGATGGACAAAATGTCCAAAACGGATTAAATGTGTATTTTTGATTTGTTCAACCGCTCGCTCTGGCACATTTAATGTTTTTTTGTCACGACACTAATTTAATTTGTTGTTTCGTCCCATTCCGATGCCCAATCAATAAAACAACCTGCACCAAGGTGTGTTGTACCGAAGTTTTTTTTCACCCGATTACAAGTTCATACACAAAAAACACATTAAAGCTGAGAGTGTTTTTAGAAAGAGAAAACCCATCACGGAGTATTTAATAAGTGGTCACCAATAGTTCAGGACATGGCACCATGTTGGAGGAGTGACCATGCAACAGAGACAGAAGTCTGTCTGCGGTGGCTAAGAGTCAAACTCTTGCAGGAGGAAGTGGGATAAGAAAGTGAGAATGTTCCTTTGTCTTGTTGCCACTCCTCCAACGTGGCGACGCCTTCTTCTTATATGAATAGTTTGACATTTTGGAAAAATGCATGGCCAAAAGTTAGATGAGAAGATCGATACCACTCTCATATCAACCCGTTAAATATGAAACTATGGCCAGCAAGCATCGGTAGCTTAGCTTAGCGTAAAGACTGGAAACAAGGGGAAACGGCTACATCTGCCTACCAGCACCTCTAAAGGTATTAATGAGTCATTAATTAACAGGTTGTTTTTGAAATTGTGGCTTTACAGGGTTTTTTTTTTTTATACGGGACTATTTCTTGGCCAGGAACAGTAACTTGTCAGCGTGAGGTTGCCAACGGAAACAATTGCTCTCAGCCAAAAAACTAGGTACCAAACGCCCCGTAAGACCAAAACTGGTCTTTTCTGCACCCTTTAGAAGTTTTGTTCAGCACATTTTTGACATCACCGGGTTTTGCTGTTTCCCTCTGCTTCCAGTCTTTGTGCTAAGCTAAGCCACCTGCCTGCTGGCCGTAGCTTCATGTATTGCCACAAAGACCTTTTATGGATCTTCTCATTTAACTCTCGGCATAAAAGCCATTAAGCGTATTTCCTGAAATATTGTACGGCCATTAACGCACCCTGAAGAAGGAACCAACGACTGCTACCATTTACACAAAATCCACTGCTACAAATGGTTTGGATTGGCTGTTCCAGAACTCACAAACCAACGGTTCTCAATCACTAAAAACACTTCTTTTATGTGCTACAGTACCCCGAATACACAGCTTTAATAACAAGACTTCCTTTGGCAATAAACAGTAATAAAGAAACACAGAGAACCTTTTGAAGGCTTTACATTGGCATCTTACAAACATTTTGGGTATTTACAAAAGCACAATTAGAGGAACTACTTGTTTTGAATTTAAAAAAAAACCTCTTTCCACCAGTTTATAACCGAATTAAGAATGAATGCTCTTCTATTATGTGAAGTCTGTTAAAACATTTCTTGAGTGAATTCCATGGGGACTACCCATTGTTCAGAGAGACCATTATTCAGAAACCCCAATAGTCTGAAAAAATGATGGAATTTGTCCGATGATGTCATTCCCCATAATAATTAGCCATGTGCTTCTGTCAAAGAGAGTTCATAGTTTTGGAGCGATGGGCCTTCGGAAGGATGGAAGTTTGTTTTCGGGATAATGGGCTGACAGAACAATGGTATGGCACCAATTCCATCTGGAAAGCTTTTTAAAAAGCTTCCAAACACAAGAAGATAATTTCCCCCTGTCGTTCCAAAGACTCTTAAAACACTGTTGGCTTCTAAAGAAAACTTCTGAAAGGAATAGTTCACCCAAGAACAGCATTGGTTGTATAAAGCTCTCAACTCCCAGAAAAAAAAGTCAGGGAGGATAACCAGGAAATGCTTTGTTATCAATAGTTAAGTGAAGGATATCCTTGAGCGCATGAATGGATACAAGCCACTTGGATAATGCTGTACAGAGATTTCATAACGTTTTACAGATGTTAGATAACGTTTCTGCCGTCTTTTGTTGGCCTCCTTCAAAGTCTGTTTGCATTGATATTAGGGCTGGGCAAGTCAACGCGTTATTATCGCGTTAACGCATTAATTAATTAACGCCGACAATTATTTTATCTCACGTTAACGCAGTTTTTTTTTTTAAATTATTGAGCGGACATTTTTAACACAAGGACCGGACAGCAAGCGGTGAACAGCTGTGTTTGTGTGGCGTCTCTTCCTGTTTCCTTCACCTACATTCCCCTGGGTCCTAAGTCCCTCCATGTACAGCTTCTTATCACCCTCTATGTACCAACATACATTTATAACAAATACCACACATATTACGGTAATCAGCGTTGCATATGTGTCTGACCAAAATACCAAAAAAAGCAAAAAAGAAATGATTCATTTAAATTATTTTCTTAGAGTTTTTAAAGTGTTTTCATTTGGAATATGTATAATAAGCATATCATTTAGTTATCGCTACTGACAATTTAACAAACATAACGAAAAAATAAGAAAAAACATCACATAGATAGGTTTGCAGTTTTCAAGGTGTATATTTCAAATTGCATCTCTTACACACATGAAAATAAAGTTGTGAACATCGGCTGAATATCTATTATCAGAATCATTATAACTGTATTTTAACTGCTACTGTGTAAAGGGAATACTGCTGTTAAAAATAACCTTATTTGTTTAAAGCGTTTGCAAACCAAATGTTATTGCACTTTTGTTCATATAGCAGTACTTTTAAAATGAAAGTGTACAATACACTACTTTTGAATTTATTATTGAATTTTGAGCATAACAATGCGATTAAAAATTGTAATCGTCGCCCAGCACTAATTGATATGCTTTCGTTTTTTTTGGACACTCTGCTCTCCCTAACAGCATTGGTTAGAAAACTTTCTCTGGGACCATAATGAGCCTCGGGAGGGGAGTGATGTACAAAATGTATATTGGGGTGAAGTATTCCTTTAACACTTTGAAGTTTGCATAAAAATGACTCGCACAAATAAATGATAAAAATAGCCTACTACTGAAAAACTGTGCATAAGAAGTCAGCTGTTGTCAAGTTTGCAAAGGGTATTGCTTCACAGTATGTGGACATCATCGATCGGTCCTGCCAGACAAAATGTACTTCTTATGCAAAAGCCAAAGAAAATGAATTCTATACAGTGAGAAACAATACTGACGTATAAACAGCATCTCTTTGAGGACAATGTTTCTTAAACTGAAGATTCTATATAACAGAACCAATGCAACAATCTAAATGAAGAGCTACGACACCTTATGGCTTTCACTCGGGCACCAATGTGGGTCATGGGAACGTCGCTGGATGCAACGATGGAGCGATATGGATGATTGGCAAAATGTGGGGAACAGGGAGTTCCTTTAAGTCACAAATACTGGGGACCGGGTTAGGGAACCAAGAGTGGAGAGACTCATGGGGAAGTGTTCTGGCGTGACCAACCGCTCAGTGAGCCTGGGGGGGGCTGAGTACAAAGCAGCAATGCCAGTGACGTAAAAGTGGTAAAAAGAACAACTGCACCAGTCCGCCACACGGTGTTATCTGAGATCTTTGCTAGCTTTGGGGACTTTGAGAACTTTGTAAATGTCGTTGGAAAACACTGTGGTGAAGTGGGGTCTCGAGCTCCTGGACATGTGGGTGCAGAGGGGGATTTTACCAACATTTAGGGGATCCTCAACGTCCCAGATCTCTGGCATGCTGCACCCGGGCCTGGGCGAAGAGAGAGAGAGAAAAAGGAAAGAAAGATTAAATCAGAGAATCAGGAAATCTCCGAACAGCATTTTAACTAAATTAAAATCGTCTCTCTGGATAAAAAACAAAAAGAAAATCAAAATGTGAAAGAAAAACATGGTCCTGAGTAACAATGTCCCCCCTTCTGTGAGAGGGTACTCGAGGTGTTGGGGTACCTGGTTCGCCTGGTGCACCACGAATCCTCCAACACGAAGAAGTCCACTCCCAGGTTCATCAGGTTCCCCTTTACGGTTTCTTCAGACATGCGGCTGTACATGGAGTAGACCAGCTTGGTTCTCTCCCTGCGAGGGACACAATACAGCACCGTTGTAACGCACAAGGTGGAAATCAACTACAGTTAGGACGTGGCAATATTTTACACAAACTTTACATGAAATTCTAGCTCATCGTGTCCAAAGAACTCTTTCTCCGTCTCTCATCTGAGCAAAAGAGCAGTTGTGGTGCTGTGAGTTCCACTGACCTCAGACCAGCGTCTTCATAGTGGGGGTGGTTGACGATGGGCCGACCCGTGGAGAGCTTCACGCTGGCCATGGTGGGCATGGCTCCAGCAAACACAGAATCTGCATCAATCGCACACAAAACAAATGAGACAATGAAGAGAGGATGAACCGGTGTGTCGAGTATCTACACTACCAGCTCTTTATTCTAATAATGTTCTACTTAGTATTACAACTTTATACAACGGGCATGATAATAAACATTCAACAGAGTTCTCCATCTGCATCACAGTTCATTTGGGAGGATATTTGTGGTGCTGTCGAATTGTATTGCGTTATACTGACAGGTGTTTCTATTATTCAGTCTACCTCTACCCCAAAATAACAGAAACACCAGTGCAGTTTAACAGCACAGTTGTAACTGTGACAGTATCTCAGTGGAACCAGAAGCTCTCCTGCTGCTGTGTATCTCTACAGTTATCTTGAATAACGGTTATCTTTTAGGACTCGTTATACTGAAACTTCACTGTAACCACCTCACTCACCAGGACGGGTGTTGTCCTGGATCCAGTCCAGCAGCTCCTCCTGCGGCAGGTTGCTGAACTCTCCGATGATCCCCCACTGGGCCTGCAGGTTGGCCACTCCCTGTATGGCCATGATGGCCATGACTGCAAACATGGCAAGCTGGTGTTTAAACCTCTCCCCGACCCAGCCAAACAACTGACACCACCACCACCACCACAGGGAGAGAGAGAGAGAGAGCATTATTAAAGGACAGCATGTGAGCTCAACAAACTGCACCATACACAGTTAATAATAATAATAATTTAAGTGGAGAAGAAACTTGACTCTCTGGCATTAAATGAAAGTTTCACCGAAAGTTTGTTTTTCTCTCGTGCTTCCAATGTGAACAAAGAGTCAAAAACAGCAAAGTCTTGATGAATTGAAGTAAATGGAGGCCGCGTTTAACAGCATAACTACATCAAAACATCCGTTTATAAACTCTCACACTACTCGGGCAGTACAATCCAAGTTTCACTTATCCAGTCGTATGCTCACTACTAACCAAACGCATGCATTTACACTAAAACCTGACTATTTAAAACACTCCGCATGAAGCGTCTCATGCTTGTGTTGGAGTGTTACTCGTCTGTGTGAGTCTGAAGTGTTTTAATAGTAAGATGCATGTGTTTGGGAAGAAGTGTGCACACGACTGGATAAATGAGACTTGATGTAGTTTTGCTGCTGTAAAACACGACCCTCAATTACTTTAATTCATCAAGACTTTTCTGTGTTTTGGGATTCTTTGTTTTCTTCTTCAAGGTAACACGGGCTGAGTAACTGATATACAAACTGGGTCATTTGTGGGTGAAGCACTCCTTTAAGGAGTTTAAATGTAGACCATCTTGTTATCCGTAATCACAGACCTGTTTGGAGCAGATGAGCGAGGCCATGATGCACATGTGTGGCGTCAGGAAGAGCTTCAGACGCATGATGAGGACGGCGAGGACAGCGAACGCCACCAGCTGCAGGCTGTGGTACACCAGCTGCAGAGACACGAGTTCACATGCAGTCTGATCAGAACTGACGAGAAGGCGCAGAGGAAACAAAACGAGCAAGATAATCTACCAGGAACTGTGACCGATCTCTTGAGGAAGTTACACTCGAGGCAAACACAAAAGTGAGACGCAGGACGTTTGATCCACGACTGGATTGACATTAAGTAATGAAACAGCAACAACAAAGCACATTTTAAATAAATCAAGAGAATGAAAGTTTCCTTTTAGTTCCACAAATTGACAGAAAACTATAATTCTCATAATTATCTGTTATTTATCAAGCAAAAAAGTGAAACTAAGTTTAATTCACATTTATTATTTCTGGTTAAAAGGCATTGTGTTTATACCTGAAGTCAAACAAAGGTGTTGAATGCATTTAGTCCTCCACAAAACATTTACAAAACAGATTTTAAAACAAGTTTTAAAGTTCTCGGTGCATTACCGACACTAACTGTTGATTAGTGGTATAGAGTGAAACCTTTAGCTGGTGTGTGTATTGCGTCTCTGCATGCTCGTCACATGAAATTAAAACGAGCAGTCGAACACATAAATTAAATATTCAATCTGCAACGTAGGTTAGGACTATGCGATAAGGATAAATTTGAATACGTTTTGTTCTAAATTGTTCAAACTTGACATTTCTTAAAAAGGGACAGTTCACCCTAAAATCAAACATACATACATGCACGTATGGACGAGAGGCTTGTGCTTGTGACAGTGCGAGACGTAAACATTAATGGCACTCTCGTCTGACGCTCTGTGACGTTAGCTAGCTGATAAATTGTACGCTTCCATCTGCGAGGTGATTCGTTTGGCGGGTGTAGCTCGGTAGAAATAAAATAGTTCCTACGTGAAACCGCTCACAACAAGGTCGTTGGATTATCTTGAGAAACCGGGTCATGATTTCTAGAAACAGTGTTTTTTTGGGCGCGTTGAGCTCCACAAGCAGAGTGTCCTCTCGTCCCATTACGTTGGAGAGAAGGCAGACATCTCTACGAAGGATATTTCCAACACTCTGCAACTCACACCAAAACAATCTGGACTGATAAACAGCACTACAGGTAAGAGGAAAAATACGGAATTTTAGATTTTGGGGTGAACTGTCCCTTTAAGTGACCTCCATTTCCTCTGATGAACTCATCAGCTGCAGCGCTGCTGTCACTGAAGCTTCGACCTCTTCAGACGCAGCTCTCCTCCAACGCAAACCTGAACAGCTTCATTTGCTGAACGGACTGTGTGATGACATTTGCGTGACGCTTTGATCTTTTTGAACACGCCCCTCCCCGAGAGGAGTGAGCACAACCCTCGGGGCTCCGCAGTGTTACTCACGGAGCAGAAATATTAAAGCAATTATCTGGGAAACTTCCACACAGCGCGGCTGGTGGATGAACATCTGAACGTTTCCTGCCCTTGGAGGGATATTACTGAAAATGAGATGAAGCAACCGAGAGAGAGAGAGAGAGAGAGAGAGAGAGAGAGAGCCGACAAAAAGGCAGCACGGGGGGATTTCAGAACAGAAGGGGAGGCTGCCTTTCATTTCTTAGTAATGAGAAAAGGGATGAAAACCATTTAGGGACATAGAAACTGAGCAGACGTTACTGCACTGGAGGAATCTAATCAAATAAAAACGGATTAAGAAAAATGGAACAACGCTGCAAAAAAAAAAAGCCTACGAGTTCACGCTGAGGTGTTGTCATGATAACGCTCGAGCATATACTCAACAATAACAGAAAGGATGTGAAAAGTACTTCTTCTCACCTCTCCTTTAGCGGCGATTTCAGATCTGCAACACAGAGAGTGAAGAAGTAAACACAGTGAGACCAGCAGAAAGAACAGCGAGGAGGCCTCTGGACGCTCACCCTGCAGCTTCATCACCATCTTCAGGCTTCGCAGACGCCTTCCCTCCGTCCCTCAGGAACCGGATTACGTCCTGGACAGTCTGAAAAGGAGAAACACGGTTAGAATACAAGTGAAAAGGAGATTCCTTCAAGTGTCATGTTTCCAACAAACAGTGCACAGTAGGAGAAGACAGCTTGCTCATGCAATACATTCTTCGTCAAACCGACTTATGTATTCTTAGCTCAGCGTGGGCAGGCGTAATGAGATTACACTGCATAAAGAGCACTTCCTCAAATATCCTTTTGAAATGATTTTTTTTCATGTTTTAGGAATCACGACTAAATCTCGCTGTTCTTCCTTTCTCAAAGCATAAATATACACATGGAAATACCCACTAAGCTTCCCCACGCAGAGCAAATATAACCACTGCAATATTCTGAAACTGAAAGAGAAAAACCTGAATAAAATAAAAAACTCCTCCTATATTCAAGCAGCTCAGGGGTGGACATGTTTGCGTAGTAATCGGAGCGGATCCACCAACTCTTTGTCTTCCTGCTGCTGTGAGCCGGCGCCTCGCCTCACGTTTCACTGTGAGACGGGAGGCTTCACACTGCAGCCCGGACACAGAACTACACAGAACACTGTTCGTTTCCCACCGATTGTGAAAAAGGAGAAGACGGGCGTTACTCACGTATATTATTGTTAAGATTTATTGATGAATGTGTTGTTGAGTCAGGCGGTCCTGTGAATGGGACCCTTTGTTAAGACATATGATGATGTAGTGCAGTGACAGATCATAAGATGTGGTTCTGGACAAAGCTTGGAAGGAGGCCTCGAGTTATTTTAATTAGAGCTTATGAATCTACAGTTCCTCTCCTGGCATTTATTAAACCCCTAAAAACTCATCTCCGTTCATTAAATTACATATTTAGGTTTCTTTTTCCATGAAAGAAAATCCTGTCATGCTTCAAAATGGTTCAGCTGGAACTCTACACATCGGCCCCGTTTAGTATGCGCGCATCTATAAATATGCAAATTAGTCTGACTGAAACTTACCGGCTGACCAACAAGCATGTTTGATAGAACAGCGGTAGACGTCAATTAAAGTTTTGTGGCAAAATATAAAAAAACTTTTCAAAACAGAAAATGGCCGCTGGGAATCCAAACTTGACTGGAACACTGAGTTTTCTTCTTCTCTGATACCCCTCGTTTCCACGTAGCTCTGTGCTGATGATATGGAAAGCCCCATCCTGCAAGTTGACCGGATTGGTTCCTTAGGTATGTGACGTATGAAACCCAGGCTGTTATTGGTACACTGCAGTACCAAGGCAGACATGTTCAGTTTGTCTGAGGTCTGAACCCTGAAGAGGACTTACCCTCCCAGCGATGAGAGCAACCACCAGCATGTTGATGGGCAGCAGCAACGTCCTGAGGTAACGTATGGGGGTCTGAGGGAGAGAGAGACAGAGTAATGTAATGTACACTGTACTCTACTCACCTGTATGCACAGTCACAACATGAGAACCCAGATCAGAACGGGTTCTGCTGCTTCTATTTCCCGTTACATTCAGAGCACACATCTGTCTCCTCCTCAAAACAGCAGGCGGTTCTTTCTGATAAAAATAAATGGTTTTCACACCGAACCACCGGAGACATTTTATCAGTGAACGCTTGAGCACACAATGTCACAAGGATGAAGGATTCAGACTTTACCTCCATCTCCATGAAGTCAAACTCTGCAGCACAAGTGTACATCAGAGTGTGGAAGTCCTTGTAGCTCGTGAACTTAGACTTGATCAGTCCACTGATGTGAGCCTGCCAATGACAAAACACAACAAATGACAGATGTGGTTTCTTTACATTCTGGATATTAAAAAAAACTTAATGCTTTAATGCATTTAAAATGTTAATTGTTCAGTATGACCTTTTCCGAAGGTGTCAATAAACAATATGACGTTTATGTAGGCTGATAGCTTCACAAAGCTGTCATAATAACTAACACAGTGTGTGTGGAGTAGTGCGTATTGTTGCGCATTTGTATTCTTGTACTTTTGTACTATTAAAAATGTATTTATTCATGTATTAATTATACATTTAGTTAAAAGCTTCATTCATAACGTTGACATTTGAACTCAAAATTACCATTTGAATTTTTTTTTATTCATCCCGTTATAACCTGCAGAGTCGCCGATAAAGATCAGAACATTACATACACATTAATGTTATTAGTATTATAAGATCAGGCTACATTAATAGTATTGTACTATCTGTAGAATTAGACTCCAGTGGTGGCTGCGTAGTATAATAATTTCCGACTTGTGTGATCCAAACGTTTCCAATAACTCCAGAGCGTTGTAAAGTCCCAAAGCCCACATTTATTGAAAAAAAAGACCCCAAATTCCCAAAATGTTTTTATCTCACGAAATATTCTGCTTCAATCCACAACATCTGTTGCTCTCCCAGTTACCGCTTACAAAAGGAGGCTCACACCTGTATTAACTGGGCAATCTAGCAGCAACCTAACAGCACAACAAATTAAAAAAATGTATTTTTTCCTCTATTTTTTGGGTGATGACGTTATAAAATGTGACGATATTCATTCAAAGCTTCATTTGAAAACAAACCTCTCTTTCTAGGAACATGGAAACCCTTCTTAGTCCCTCCTTTGATGTTAAGTAACACGTTTAAACATGATGATATCAGGAATATAATCTACTGTAAACACGGTTCAGACTGAGTATTAGCAGTCTTTTGCAGACACATGAATTTCTCCAAGTATAGTTGTGGCTTACATCATCGGAGGCACAGAGGACAGTGGACAGCATGAACTTGAGCAGGACTGTGGAGCCGACCCAAGCCAAACCCTGCATGACCTGAAGAGAGGGAAGAGATGGACGCACGCTCACGACCGGGACAGGAACCGGAGATAAAAGCTGGAGTCACTTCTACATACCCAGAGGACGACGCCAGGTCTGAAGACTTGAGCAAATCGATCCCTCAGTGCGATGATTGCCTGAAAAGGGAAATCACAGAGACAGAATTCAAAACCACAAAAAAACAACAATGGTTTTGTGTTTCCATTTCCCTGTGCAACGCCTCTTACTCAAAAAAAAAACCCGATACATCCCAGTACATTCACTGGTTGCACATGCAGATCATCAGACTCTAAAGATCCAGCTCACCCAGATGGAGACGAGCGAGGAGGCGTAGAAGGACGTGAGCAGCATGGAGTTCCCGAACATCAGGACAAAGCAGACGGCGAGGGTTATCTGATGAGAACAGGTGAGAGAAGAGGAGTCATGCATCAGGTTGATGTGCAAAATATTTGTAAAATTCACTGAACTCGGGATTCCATATTCCTCGCGGCTGTAGCCAAGTTTAAGCTGCATGCAAAACATATCTTATGTTCATTTTAATGTTGATTATTAACATAAATAGCGTCCTTCACCTGAAAAAATATTTATACAACAAAATAATATGCTAAAGCGGTCACGTTTGGAACGCATAGGTTTCTTCATATTTCTCCTTGTTGCATTTTGACTTTAGCTTTTCTTTTTATACTTTAAAAACAAGTTAATTCCCTGTGATTCCTGGGACAGTGTGCTTCTGCTCCCGGGACAGAAAAATTCTAATTTTTGGGATAGAAACATATCAATCCCTCTTGTGCATGATCAGTTGGTGTAATTAGATATAATATCAAACATTAGGTTCCCAGTGGCCTCACAAAAACACTCCACAGTCACGGAGACATTCTGCCTCCCGACAGCAGGAGGGCGGTCTGGAACAGATTGTGTTAAGTGTGAATGAGAAGTCTTGCTGTTGTTGAAAACACTCCATTAAACCGATGCATTATACTTTGAATACACAGCCACCAGCACAATCTAATCCTATTCACTGAACTCTTGATGCTTAATCCCACAGTGAAGTAATGCACCACTCACTGCACTGTGCACACAGAGCACCAGTCTAAACAAGGGGCACTGACAACTCACTGCTGAGCTCAACTAACTTGCATTTTAATAATTGATCAGGGACGCAATCAACTATTATTTATGAATCTGCTTATTTTTTTGTTAGCATACAACAACTTCATTATATAAACATGCAAATGTTGACTTTTGAGAAGCTACAAGCAGGCGGATTTATGGTATATTTGTTTACTTATTGTCAATTTTCATGCAGATTCGTTTTCTGAATCAACTTCCATTGATGTTTTTGTCGAAAGAAATGACGTAGTTTATTTTTTTAAAGCTAAAATATAAAATATTTCTAATTCCAGCTTCTGAAACGTGTGGACTTGCTGCTTCCCGTTTGTTTTTTCATTTTAAATTGAATACTTTAGAGTTTAGGATCAAGTCAAAACGAGGGCGTAGGTTTGCATATGGACGGTGTGGACGTGTCCCGACCAATATCTCAGCAAACTTCTCACGCACAGGTCTGGACCTTATTTCCTAAAGAGCCACCGTCTCTCTGCATCGGAATGACGTGAACCTGCTTGAAACTGAAACACATTACATGCAGCAGGGACTCGACACTCGGGGCATTTGCGCCCATGTGGTATGCGCCCTAAGCACTCGGCTATCGGGTCGCCTAAATACTTCATTTTTCATGGAAGTATTCTGCATTTATCTACACAACTTATATTGTTCTATAATTGCACTATATGTTTGTACGTTTCCTACCTCTATGTACTGTAGTGTTTATAGAAGATGACAATAAAGTCTCACTTATTTCATCTCTTATCTTAATAAGTGACAGATTAGTATCAGGTAGTTGCAGTTGCATGAGACACCGCTCAGCCTCTGTGTGACAACGCTGTAGATCACGTAGAGGACACACATGGATGCTTTAGTGTCTGTATTTCTTTAGCACACAAACACAAAGTCACTGTTTCTAAGCTTTCTAAATTATGCAGAGGCATATTCCTTCCTCTGACACAAATCTCCACCATCTTACCACAAAGGGCGTTCTCCTTATCTGTGGAGCACACAGGGCCTGGCTAACAGCCTGGCATGCTGAGCGGATTAGGGAGAAAGAATGTGGAGGCGCAGGACGAACGGCCTGAATAACACACACACACACACACACACACACACACACACACACACACACACATCCTTACACATCAACAGATATACTTTTGTCCTTGGCAGGGTGCAGTTGCCAACATATCCTCCCTATTTCACACTTGAATAAAGAGCAGTCGTGTACAGTGGCATCGTTATTGCTGAAGAAAGTCATCCCTGCCTCGGCTGGTGTTGTCCTCGCGGCTCATAAAATTCCTCCAGCCGAGGAGCTGAGCGAGATAAGGAGAACCGAGGCAGAGCACATTACGGCTCAGGGGACAGCGGCTGGAAAGACTTTCACTTATGTTGGCCACAACACACAATCCTCTCACACAGGGAAAGCTAAAACCACCTAAAATCCTCTACTCAAGTAAACATTTTGTCCCTTTCACGTCCTTCCTCTGTGGGTTTTTTTTTGTCTCACCTGCACAATTTGGTTATTTGCATTTTTTTTAAATCCTTTTGTTGCATCTCTGTCTCAGTAGTTCAGGTGATTTGGTGTAATTGTTTACTTATTTGCTACCGAGGTGCTGCATGATGCACCAGACGAGTGAACACATTAAGTTAGGGAACAGAAACACTCTCAACACTCTGGTGGATTGATTGCTTGGTCGTCTACTGTACCATATGAGTGACCAGGATGGATTGCATCTTGGCGGCGGCGAGGTAACCCAGGATGTAAGAAGCAAACAGAGAAGCCACCTAGACAAAAAAAAAATAGACAACCATAAAAATATACTCCTGAAAACATACTAAATAATTCATATCAGGAGTCAGGAACAGACTGCATGTATGTGCAGCCGATACAGATCACACTACAGCTACACCCGACAAGACAGGTGCTTTTCAGTTTTGATATTCCACATATTACAACCACACCACTATTTCTGAAAAGTTTGTTGCATCTAAAAACACTCCACTTAAGAGACATTTAAACTTTTCTTCTGACACAGAGATACACACAGTGCTTTATTGATCCCCAGAGAAAACTGTTATTATCTATTAATCGAGAAGCTAGGTAAGAAACAAAATACTTAAAATAATAATGTCAACTAATTCAAACTAATGTAAAAATAAGGACTGTACTTTATATGTGTCTTTTTATATATTGACTTAATCTCTTTTTATTTGCCTTTAACTCTAAATAGCAGCGGTACATTTGAAGTGCATGCCCATGGTGCTGCATAGATTCATATTGATCCTTTGCTAAGTCCCGCCCCTCGAACGCAGACTGGCCAATCATAGCGTAGCATCAGCCAGCTCCGACCAGGGTCCAACAACTATCCGACTCTCCTTCACAGACTCCCATGCAGTCGTTTCACTGAAGTCTAATAATAATAATATCAAAATACTAAAGATTAATATCACCAAATAGGTGTAATAATACCACTAATTGATTCTAAAATCGTTTAAGACCCTAAATATTGTATTTAGTGTATTTATTCTGGCTTCTGTCAGACTCTGGAGTGGGCGGACATACAGTATTTGTTTCGCGTGCAGTGAGCGAGGCTCAATTAGCAGCTTACATGTGCAAAACAAAGAAGAAGCTGTTGAGCAACTTGTCTGGTGTTAGAATGAGCGGTGCCCCGAGGGGGCCGCCGGCAGCGTGGGCCGAGCCGCTGCCGAGCACAGATGCTCGCAGCGGTGACCCGTTTGTTCTGGAGTCGCGGTTCAAACTCCGGCTCCTCAGTCTGCCAGCCCACACGCTCTACCACCTCCCGCTTCTGTCTTTCACTTGCTCGTCGCTGTAAGCATCTCTCCCTTTCCACAGTTCCACTCAAATGTGCTCAGGATTTCACGTGCATATTTTCCTACTGCATGTCACCATAGGGTTTATGAAATGAGGATGTAAATGGTTGCATTCTTGGAATTTCATAATCTCTTTTTTTTTTTTCAGTCTTTGTTTCTTTTCCATCCTGGCAAACCTCTCCCTCTCCCTCCCTCTCCCTCTCCCTCTCTCTCTCATCTGCCCCTTCTGCTTTCTTCCCTCTCTCTCTCTCCCGATGTCTCTCTTGCTCTCCGTTTACCTGAGTGAGCAGCACAAACTGGGCGAACTGCCAAGGCAGCATAAAGCACAAATTGGAGACGCCGAGGGCGACCATGGCTGTCCTGCTCGGGTTCCGTGTCCTGGGGAGAGGCAAGAGAGAGAGAGAGAAAGAATTACAGCGGAGAGAGAGTAGCGGGTTGCAGAGGAGATAAGAGACGATGCATTAAGACGACACAAGCACACGCATTCAGTTTCACTCAGAGTCTGCCACAAAGCCCCGCTTGTGTACCGAGCTGGCCCTCAGAGATATGACACGCCGGAGTTCATTCTGCGTTTTTAACGCTGCTGGTAGAAGAAGTCACAGTTTACCGACTGCACTCACGTAACACAAGGTGGCGTCCGCTAGTTGATGTGCAATGAGAAGATTACTAGACTGAGACAAGAACATTAGCTCACCACCGTTCACTGCACCGTTTAGCAGACAACAAAAGCGAGCTTCGCCTCGGGCCAGTAATTACAACACACAGAGCCTGTATCACTGTAGCGTGTGAAGGAAACAGCAGTCTGATCATGTGTTACTTCTGTTCTTTCACATACAGTAGTCAACAGGCTGTTCAAGTGAAAAGAAAAGCAATGATGACACTTGTTGTGTAAGTGTGGCATCCACTTATAAGCCTCTCCATCTACCACCAGGGTGTGCACAGGTGTTCTGCATACAGTGATTGGAATGTGATTAGTTTGTTTCTGCACCTGCCATAAAATAAAGTGTTCTCTGCATAGATCCAAGTGTGCGGATATCTACCTGAGATGTTTGATACTTCCAGCACCTTCTCTAAGATACAGCCGGGTGTTGCGGTGGTTATCCTGCATGTATGAAACTTGAAGAAATAAAATGACTTCTACTCTTCTACATGTCTTATGGAGAATCTGCCAACGACGTGGACCACTGCGACTGTAAGACGGAGCTGCTGGTGGCGAGTTTACCGTAGGATGTAGGTGAGAAGGAGCATCTGCAGGACTAAGAAGGGGTAGGCGAAGCTCTCCCTCAGGGGCGGAGTCCACATCACACGAGTGCTCTGACGACGTCCACAAAGACACACACACACACACACACACACACACACACACACAAAATAAAAACATGCACACTAACAAGCTAATCAAAACCAGAGTGGATGGAATCATTTTGCATCACACACACTTTTATTCCTATATTAATAATTCCGCCTCATAAACTTAATGGATCTTCAGTCATTTAGTTTGAGTATCTCGTAAAAATAATGTGCGCCAAACTTAGGGGTGTACAGCTGTTATTTTAATGTGCCACATGCACATTAAATCAACACAGCATATCTGCTGCTAAGTGGTTTTACGATGTGTGCTGAGCATCTTTGGCAGGCAGAATTAATTCAGTTTTATCTGATCTCATTTTCAAGTGGTAGCTTGAGAGTTCCCTGGCCATCTGTGCCATTTAGGTAAATAGAAGAGTCAGACTAGACTCCGTATCAAAGGACTCGGGGCCAAAACAACTCGATAGGGACGTGACAATTATTTGTTATTTAAAAAGGGTGCCACAAATCAATTTCCTGCATCAACGAACGTTAACGATATTCATTCCCAGCATCTCGACACTTGGTTCCTTACTTAGGGTGAAAATCACAGATGCTCCTGAAATCTACCACTGCAGTCTGGGAAAAAGAAAAGACTGGAAAGAGGAGAGCATCCCCTGCTAGTGTGTGTGTGTGTGTTTGATCTGAAATAAATTCTATTTGTTCTGAAGTAAACTGGAGAGGAGAAGGTGGGAGGAGGCTTTGAGCTCCAGCTGAAACAGACTCTGAGCTCCTTCGAGGGCTGAAATGAGTCCCTCTGCTTTTATAAACGCTTTTTTAATTTGGAGTTTTACACATTTCACAAACGTGGACACAGAGAGAGTTATTGCACAGAAGTATAGAGCGAAGAAACAAACACTTAGTTCACTGACACTCGATAGTTAAGGCGGTGCACTCACCTCTCCGTGATTGAAGAAGAAACACATCGTGGTAACGACGCCGCCCAGTCGACTGCCGCTAGACAGGAAATATGGAAATAAGAGAGCAAACGACAGAAAGGTCATCCTCCACCTCTGGTTTCACATCCACAAGTCACAGAACCACAAAACTGTACCCTGTCTCGGTCCGACAGCTGGACGATGACGGGTAAGAGAGGAGCTAACCTGAGATAGGCACCGTAGATGAAGAACAGGCTCATCATCGCGCCGTTCAGCAGGAACACAAAGGTCACGTAGAAGTACGCCGGGTCGCCCATCCCTGGTGTGACACACACACACACACACACACACACACACACACACACACACACACACACACACACACACACACACACACACACACAAAGTAAACAGAAGATGAAGGTTATGAAACCAGCGCTACTATGGAACAACTGATTATTTGATGAACCAAAGAATGAATAGCATCAGAAATGCCTCGGCTGCAGCCTAGAATGCACCGATCCAATATCAGGTTATATCATTTAACGGCTCGTTTACGGAACAACAACAACACGAGTCACTCTACCCGATCCGTACATTCTTCACGTTCGGTACTGCAACTCTCTACAGATATGAGAGAGAAGCGAGACGGCTCACTCGTTAGCTACTTCCATCCTCAGCTCCAGAAATAACGATCGCCGCGTCTGAAATCGATGATGGAAGTAGCAAACGACCTGAGCCGACTCACTTCTCTCTCGTCTCTGTTGAGAGTTACAGTATTATAATCTGTATCGGGAATAAAATAAACCTGATATTGGAACATTACTTGACACTGAATCGTTTATGGCATTTATCGAACATTCACCGGCTCCAATTGTCCCTGGTGGCTTTATTCAGCCTTTTGCAACAGTCTGGAAGAGGCTTGAACAAAGTCTCCTCCAAACAGTGAGGTCGCTGCAGAAATAGCGCATGAAACAGTTAGCGTCTCTGCAGAGCTCTCAGCTGAGGTGACCTTATCAAACCAGTATACGCAAGAATATATTACACTGAATACTAATAGGTTCCCTTTAAGGTACAGAAACGTCCTTAATAAGTACTCTGAGACAAAGTGCGTGGACACAAATGGACCCGACCTCACTAAACTAGCAGGTACGCAGAATGACTAACAAGTGTTGACATTACGAGAGCCGCTGCGTCGACTGTAAGTGGAGCTCGTTCCATCAGCAGATCGATATGAAAGTAGAGTAAAATGTGTCTTACTGCGTGTCACAAAATGAATGTACCCGCTGACTGTTACAGGAAACGCTCTCACTTTCTGACGGCTCCATGTTAGGCAAGGCAGCTTGTGTGAGGTTTGTGTAAACACTGTGAAATCGACCCGGGGGGGCGGGGGGATCACTCCGCCAATGAGACTGAAGGAAACACACAGATTGCAGCTCCACAAAGGGAAAGCTGACAACAGCTTGTTTACCATCAGCAGGTTTACTCTTCTGGGAACAAATATCACAGAGCGGCTTGTGTGTAAGAGGTTAAAAGGTTCTTCTTTCCTTCAGGGCTGCTGTAACAACACTAATGCGTCTCTCGCTGTGTTCTACCTGTTGAGCTACCAAATTGTTTTGTTTGTTTGTTGCCATCGACCCTTTAATGCCAAACCTTTTCTTGAGTTTCCCGACATCATTTTGTGAGCCTTGCTCGGTTAATCTCACTATTCTTTCAGCAACTATTTTGAAGCTTTTCTTTGTCTATTCTGATTAAAACACATTTATTAAATAATGTGTTCAACCTTTTGGAAATAGCCTTTTTCTTAGCTGGTCATGTGACATCCTTCAGTCTCATCTGTGTGGCGCCCTCACATGAGGGGCGCAACGGATCGCATAAACTCAAGGTTCAGATCATATCAGCAGAAAGAAATGGGGAACAAATAGCATCTTTAGAGATGGCCGATCACATTTGTTGTTGTTTTGTTTTGCTGTAGCAGCTGGTATACAAGGCTCGAGATTATCTTTTTAATTACCAACCCGAAAAGATGAATCTATTATGAAAAATTCATAAATGTATCATTTAACTTTTCTATAGTCATCAATAGCAGTTATTTGCATAAACACATAATTCTAATGATTAGGAAATAAAAGATCATATTATTATTTATTACAATAAAACCTTGGCATTGGTGGATATTATGTATTATAAACTGCTTTGAGATAGTTAATCCATCAGTAATCTGAAGAGCACCGTTGTAGAAAAAAACTATTAAATTAGAGTTTTGATTGAAAGCAAAGAGAAAAATAAAGAATCAAACGACTCCTTGGGTTCTTTGATCAATTCCTTCTGTGTAATTTATACATGCTCTCTTAACTGCCGGCTCCCCGTGAGGCTTTGACTGCATCTGTCCACGAGGGAAGAAAATCATCAAAGTCTGCGAAGACATTAGTCATTCAGTCATTTCAGCGCGAGACTGTGAGAGTGTCTTTAATGTTAGCGTAGCTGCAGGTTGTGATGGGGAAACTATCTGCCTGTGTGATGTAGCCATCGTTCAACCTGCTGCCTCTGTGTGTGTGTGTGTGTGTGTGTGTGTGTACACTAACGAGCATATTTGCAGACCAGGCTGCAGCTCCGAGGCGACAGTCTGTACCTTCACAGCTGTCCACGGGAGTGAGTCCCTCTCCTCTGTTGATGGACCAGCACATCTTTGTGGGAATCCCAAAGTACCCCATCACACCCGTGTACATCCGGTACCAGCTGGCCAGGACCACCTGGGGAGCAGAGACGGACGAGAATCAGTGCAAAGCCTGTTTGAATAACAGGTTTGAAAGGCCTTTCTGTCCCGTAATCTCTGGGGGGGGGAGGGGGGGGGACACGCGGGACAGACACACTCTGTAGTCCTGTAGAAGCTCATAACCTTCCCAGTATGTGTTCATCTCTCCTGCAGGGTTTTGTGTGTGTGAATCAAGTTTTAAACTACATTCTGGTGTTTTTTTATGAAGTAGACCGATTCCATAATATTCTCAGACAGCATTAAACCTCTTAACATTTAACGATATTCCACAAATTCACTGAGCAGAAAGACCCAAACACAAGGCGTCACACAGACGTTGGATTAGAATTATCATGAAACGGATTTATTTATTCCTGCAAAGCTGAAGAACTCATACTAATACATTTTAAAAACAAGCGGTAATACAGGTTTATTTGGAGCAAAGTTTCATTTTATCTGCAGTTTTTCTTTAAAATTATTGTATCTAATGCAGGAATGGAAACTAATTAAACTACTTCTAGAGATCTGTTGTGCCATGAGATTTGAACTTTTACTGTGGAATAATTTTACTTTTTTCAAGTCTGATAAATACAATTTTCTCAACAATGATGAGTGAATTCACAAAACAGTCTTTGTTCGCCTCATCTTTCCACTTCCAACAAACTCTGGTTCGGTAGAAATAAAACCTCAGTTCCCTGAGTTCGACGTGAACACATCCCGGCTCTGCCCTGCTGTTGCCGGCCTCGGTGCTATTAATAACTCGCTGAACAAGTTTTTGCCGCTGCGTGACGAAAGTCGGAAGAAACTTTTAAATTGGGGCCTTGTAGATCAAATAGAGAAGGTTCAGAAAGAGGATCACGTTTGTTCAGAGAGAGAGATTTTTGGCGTACTGCTGACCTGAAATAAGTGGAAGATAATTCAGACATTGGAAGCTTAATGAGTGTGAAATGAATTGGATACAGCCCGGTCAATAACAGCAACTATTCTAAAGGAGCTAAAGTTTTGTTGAGTAGGCCAATGGGAACAAAGACACTGAGGGTCAGATCCATGGAGAAGAGCCTGCTAGGTTTGTAGTGAAAGATTAACGTTAACGCTCAGCGGAAAGACACGCTGCTCCACCAGAAACATCTCTAAATGTCGGGCACAGATTCTAGAGATTCGGCAATTCCGCACAATCCTACGTTCACCCTTCTGTGGCTGCGGTGCAGTTCTCAAAGCACCCGCACAGGATGCTTTAATTTCATCCCATTTGTGTAGGTTTTAGCGGCCGCAAAAGCCGCGCAATCCTTTTTGTGAATTGTCCCCCTGAGACGAGTAACGGTGCTACAAGTCGTACGAACAGCACGGCAAAGATCCGCATTACCTCTGGATAGAGATTGAATCTCTTCAGCGTGTTAATAACCAGCGGGTACTCCGTCAGCCGATCGTTCATGACCGCGTGGAGGCCGTCGAGGAAAGCCGGAGCTTCAATAATGGTCTTGTAGTAGGAATAGTACAGACCCTGGAACAAACAGAAGATATATATACAGATTAACTCAAACACATACAAAAATAAATATCTAAATGAGGAAGAGGGACAGAGAGAGAGGAGGAACAAAGGAAAGAGGAGACGCAGAGCGATACAGAGAGGAAGAGACAGCAGACAGACAGTAAATATAACTTCACAACACAGAGCCGGTCACACCGGCTCAGCAGACGGCAGCAGTTCACAGCCCGTGTTGGTGTCACGCAGCAGGGGTGAGGGAAGAGAAATGTCCTGTTTGCAAACGATAAGATCCTCACCACCATCTCCCAAAAGGGCACGAAGCCCGCTCTGCGTCTTCAATAGCAGAGACTTTTACACGATGACAGTGACAGCGACGCACAAACATACGCCACGTTAAATGACACGCATTTGAAACGGAAGACGACAAGAGAGAAAATTACGTTTTTGCATATTGTTAGAATCACAAATGTGAGTTTTTGAAGGGCAAGTTCAGCGTTGTTTCTAATGTTGTGGGAGGAAAAATGGTTCTCCTCAGACTGTGCAGAGGGTATGGAGTCAGTGTGGGCACATTATGCATCAGCCCTGAATTTCAGAAACTGTTTATTGCCAAGTACGTTACACATACAAGGGATTTGGCTCGCTGATTTGTTGAATTTTCCTTTTGTCTTCCACCTTCATTGAAACTGAAGTCTGTAAAACAGACAAATCCAAGCCTGCTCAGGTCAGAGTATGCCGCCCTTCAACTTTGCACCAACAGTTGACAAATAAAAACAGTGTTTGGAAATGTCGACGTCATTAATCTAGCGCTGTGTGACAAGTGACTGGGATCATTCTTTTATGTGTGAGGCAACTTAAACACTTCTTTCATAACGTTGTAAAACAAAACAACAAATAAATACGTCAATGTAAATGTACTGAACTGTCCTTTATTGAAATAATGGAATCCAATACCCGATCCAGCTGTTTTCAGTCTAGTAACACAATGTCCTAAAGCCAGAGCAGCTGTCCCCACATTGCCGAAGTCCAAAACCCCAAAATATAAAAATGGAAATTTAATTATTTTGGGGTTTTCGGACTGTTGGTCGAACAAAACAAGACATTTGAAGACCTCTGGTTATTTGACATTTTAGGACATTTTACAGACAAAGCAATTTGTCGATAACTCTAAAAAATATTGCAAATCTAACAATTGTTAGTTGCAGCCCTGCAGTATCACAGCCGTAAACCTATTTAACACGTGCAGTTGCATTACATCTCTAACTGTACAGGCTCACACCGGGAAGTAGTGTCATCACCTTAAAAAACGTGTTATTAGTGCATCCCTAATAATAAATAAATAATAATAATATGATTACCATTTCTGTCCGGAAAGCCATCTCCTTCTCCAGGTTTGACAAGTGAGAGAAGTGTCTGTCGTTCTCAAACAGCTGTGTGACATGATGCCTGATCACAGGGGGAGAAACACGGGAGCCAGCATCACACACAAGTAACCGTTATGAATGAGTAATAACATGCTGATGGTGCAAAACTCACCAGTGGAGATACCCGGTCAGAGCAGCTGTGGAGAGAGAGGATGCACGTTAAACATTTAAAATGCTGCTTACACCGAAACAGTTAAAACTACAGGGGTGAGGACTTGGGTAGTGATATGCATGCCTTACGGTGGTGCGTTTTCACCAGAAATCACGCAAACATTAGCTTGAACTTTTACCAGAAGACCTGTTAACACGTGTGGGACTTGTATGTGTCACATGAGCAAGAGAGAAGAAAGGCGGACTACTTTTTCTGCCATTTTCATAGAATAGCGTCGATAGGCATAGCTAGCGCTGGTGAGCTAACGTTAGCTCAATAAGAACAAGATAACTTAAATTTAGCAGGATGCTAGCGGTGTGCACAGCGTTAGCATTCGTTAGCTTCGGATGGTTCCGTGGAGGAGCTAGCTGGCTAAAAAAGCTCCGAACTCACCGAGGAGGAGAGTGATTCCCAGCTTCGCCACCGCGGATGGAGTTAGCCCGAAGAGCCTGCGTCCGATGCCCGAGAGCCCGTTCGGATGTGAGCTGTTGAAAGGCCGCCGAACGGTACTTTTACCGGGGTGCGAAACAAAAACAAGCGGACTCTTGTCGCGGTCCGCCTGGGTCGCCGGACTCTTCCCGGTCTGTTTTCTGTTTTTAGCCACCATGACTTGAGTCGAGGTTGCAGGCAGCGAGGCTCCGTTAGAGGGGAGAGGAGGGGAGAAGAGAGAAAAAACAGACCGAGAGGGGTGTGAGCTAAGCGGCTCCACCGTCGCTTCGTATCTGGTCCTCGGATCTGCCCCCTTTACTACCTGAGTGATGCTTTCACTGGTGTTGCTCTCTCTTCAGACGCTCGTGGAAATCTGGTGATGCTTCGCCCCCTACCGGACGGTCAGCGCCACTACAGGGAGCTTCTGGAGCTGCGGGTTGGGATGTGTGTATATATATATATTATTAATACTTTTTAAATGAGGTCCTACAGGTTGACAACTTAGTAAAACAGAGTAAAACTATTACATATCAAACGCACAATATATTCAATAAGAATAATGGAGTAAAAAATATTATTGTGTATTTTTATATTTAATATTTTTACTGTTATTTTATTTACCTGTACCATAATTGCTGCTGTAGTGAAAAAAATGTCCCCTTGCGGGATTAATAAAGTGTCTATCTATCCGTCTGTCTGTCTGTCTGTCTAAACATGGAGGCTCCTTTGTATTATTCCAGTAATTGTTGACTCAATATATACAGTATAAATTCGACCACCAGAATTGTATTGTTAGTGTAGAGCAGTGGTTCTCAAATGGGGGTACGTGTACCCCTGGGGGTACGTGAAGGCACTCCAGGGGATACGTGAGATTTAAAAAATTATATATATTTAAAATTAGCATCCATTCAAAAGTCCTTGAAAAATAGTAATATAATTGTTTTGCCAGCATCACTTTAATGTCTCTCTGTTTCAACATCTCAAATGCTCCCTCTGAAAACACACAAACATTATCCAACTCTCTCCAGTTTACCTCAACTTTTGAATATTTAATATTAAATTTATCACATGTTCGACTGCTCGTTTTTTTTTTTCAAAGAAATTACAGCCCCTATTTTCTTTTATGATCGGCGTAACTTTCTTAGATAAATACTTTGGTCTACATCGTCACAAGTTCTCAAAGACGTCTTCAAATAGCTTGTTTTAACAGGTCTGCGCTCCCAAACCCAAAGAGATTTGATTTATAAGGATATAAAATGAGAGAATCAGCTCATTTTAAAGATCCCTGGAGTTTTTGACCACTTTGAAGTAATGTTTGTAAGAGTGGGTTCCCCTTTTGTTTGTGTCATGTATGTGACGAGCATGCAGAGACGCAATACACACACCAGCTAAAGGTTTCACTCTATACCACTAATCAACAGTTGGTGTCTGTAATGCACTGAGAAATGTAGCAGTGCACTAATGAAGGAAAAGAAGAAGACTGCACACTTAGCAAACATGGGTTTAAACTAAATGAAAAGAACAATAGGCTGTGTTAATGATTTAATTGTATTTCAGTATTGATGACAGACAGTTTTATCATGCAGCAGGTAGTGACAGTAAACCAAAAGTTTGGTAAAAAACAACTCAACAGCAGTAGAAATTACAATTTATGCACCAAGTAGTGCCATAAATAAATCTCACAATGGAATCACTGTCATAGTTTACAAAAGAAGTGATTTTTGATAATTATTTTTCATTGTGAACTTCCTCGTCCCTAATCCAGGGAAGAGCCATACACCTCCAACTCACACAGACTCAGCTGCTCTTGTCTTGGGATGAATATGTTGACATAATGACCGTCCATCCCATGACACTGGAACTCTTCGACACCACCTGATGGGATACTTGTGATCGCAGCACACCTGGCAGAAGAAACAGAAATGACGTTGTTGACTTCAAAAAAGGTTGGTCTCTGTCGCTTTAACAAAGAGCACAAAGCAGTAATAAAACCATACTTTAAAACAGTAAAACCAGATAAATTAGATTAAATAACGTATAATATTGTCCAGAAGATATAAAAACAAGTAAGTCTAAAGCCAGATTAAAAAGGGATGCATTAAGCGTTGATGTGAACAGTGATTTATTCCACAGTTTAGTTTCCATGAGAGCAAATGCTCGGTCACCCTTGGTTGCAAAAGCAGAAACTGTGAGAGGAGCTTTCTCTGCTGATCTAAATGTGCGGCCACGCCTGGGCTTGCTCGGTCAGAGGTGGAGCTTCGAGCGAAGCCGATTATTTTTCATATGGGATGATCTCAAGTTTATTTTGTGATAACTTTTTTTGTGTGTAGCAGCTCTATGAGGCTACACAGCTAAATGCTAACGTCGGCATGCTAAAATGCTGCGTTTAATAGGTTATGTTCATGTTAACCATCTTAGTTTAACGTGTTAGTACTAAACTCAAAAGCACAGCTGATACTGATGGGAATGACACTATAGTATGCAGGTATTAAAGTTTAATTTTTGACCTGATAATGACATCAGATGAAAAGTTAAGGGATAACCAAATTGAATACAATTCATCTTGAGGGGAAAATGAATGTCTGAGCAAAATGTCTCAGCAATCCATCCAGTAGCAGCTGAGATCT